GGCCAGCCTGGTCTACATAGTGAGTTCTAGGACAGCTGGGGCTACAGGGAGACTCTGTCTCAAAAAGACAAAAAAAAAAATTTTTTTTATACATTTTTTTTTAAATTTCATGTGTATGAGTGTATTGCCTGCATGTATGTAAGTGTACCTGAATCACGCAGTATCCTCGGAGGTCAGAAGATGGCATTGGATTCCCTGGAACAGGAGTGTTAGACAGTTGTTAGCTGCTGTGTGGGTGCTGGGATTCAAACCCTAGTCTTCTGCAAGAACAGCCAGTACTCTTAACTGCTGAGCCATTCTCCAGCCCCAGTGAGCTATATCTTATATGTTAGTACTTAAACTGAAAATAATTTTTGGCTTTAAGAAAAAATAAATAAAAGCAACTACAAAACAAAAAAAGAAGATGAAATGGAGCAAACCAAAGAATTTTTTTGGCTTTGAAATCCAAGGATATATCTGGGTGTGGTGTCAAATGCCTTTAATTTCAGCATTCAGGAGGTAGAGGCAGGGAGAGCTTTGTGAATTTGAGGCTAATCTGGTCTATAGCCAGGACTACATAGTGAGACTCTGTCTCAAAAAAAAAAAAAGTTGTCTCTCTTCTACCTTTCAAAACGTAAAAGTTTTATTTTTATCTAAACCCTATAATGCTTGTAGTGAATTTCCACCTAAAATAGTCATTTATTTGCCAGAGTAATTACATAGTTAATTTGGTATTTCAAACAGCCAAAAATTTTATTAAACACCTGCTGGGAACTGAAAGTTTGCAATAGAAAAAAGCCTAAAGTATGACCCTGGCTTTTTGTTGCTTTGACACAGAGTGACAGTGTAGCTGAGGATGATCTTGAACTGATTTTTCTGCCTCTCCAAATTATAGGATTACAGCATACATTACCATACCTAGGGCTTAAAGCTGCTCTCAGTCTTGTTCTCGAGGAGCAAATACAGTGGTTACCTGAAATGACATAAAATAAATACTGTCACTTGATGCACGATGATGCACACAGCTGTATTATTATAGATTCCTAATTTTATTGGCTATGAAATAAAATGTAAGAATATTGGCCCAGCAACATCAGAATAATTGGTAGTTGGTGAAAACTGGAATCTAATCATAGTCCACAGAACTTGGCTTTAAAAAAAGCCAGGGAATTTGAATCCAGGAGTGGTAGCACATACTTCCAATCTCAACACTTGAGGTTTTAGCAGAAGGATCAAGAGTTCAAAATTGTTGGTCGGGTATGATGGCATATGCCTTTAAATCCCAGAAGGAGGCAGAGGCAGGTGGATCTCCAGGGCCAACTGGGGCTACAGGGTGACCTTGTTTCAAAAAAAAAAAAAAAAAAAAATCCTCTGTTATGGAAAAATTTGAGATCCAGCTTGGGCTACATGAGCTTATCTCAAAGAAATGTTTTAAGCTGGGCGTGCGTGGTAGCGCATGCCTGTAGTCCCAGGACTTGGGAGGCGGAGGCAGGCAGATCTCTGTGTTCAAGGCCAGGCCAGCCTGGTCTACATAGTGGGTTCCAGGCCAGCTGGGGCTACTGGGATAAAAAAAAAAAAAAAAAAAAAAAAAAAAAAAAAAAAAAAGAAATGTTTTAAAAGGGGTGAGGGAGATTTGGTAATGATAATCTTTCAGAAAATAGAGTTTAAGTATACTAAAACTTTTTGTGTTTCTAACCTGTAGTTATTTAAATCTCTGTCCTCTGGTGATAGATTTGAGGATTAATCTTTGTTTCATATAACTTTCAGGTCTTTGCATCTGTAATGAAGGATATTAAAGAAGGAGACAAGAACAGCAGTCCTGCTCTGAAAAGTTAATATTGGAAATTAGTAGACAAACTGAAAGATAAAAAGTAGCTTTGGGGTAAAAGTTTGTTTCCTATGCAGAAAGCATGGAAGAAAATGCTGAAGAAATCCAAAAGAATCAAGAGCTAGAGAACTGCAGAGTTTAAATTCCACAGCTGAAGTAAATAAGTAATTTATTGACAGTATTAATAAAAAAGTATTTTATAGGGAGAGTCATTTTTCAGAGAAAAAGGCTTAAGTGGCTATTACATACTCCATAATTTGGAGTGAATAATTTAATGCAATAATTTTTTAAATAACTTCACAGAAACAGATTTTTTTGTCTTTTCTTTTTTAACAATTACCACAAATGTCCTTCAGGGGTCAGAATAGGAATGATAAAATACTACTTTAATCTCCAAAAAAGATTTAGTGCATATGTTATCTCCAGTTCTGACCTTCTGAAGATACTATAGACCAGTAACAATAAGCAACTTCAGTTGTAAATTATTTAAGTCCCTCAAGTTATTATCTTCATTCATAGGTTAGGACAGTTTTATTATCTGGAACTGGAAATGTTGGTGGGACATTGTTTCTTGTTTGTTTATGGTGTTTCCTACAGTGTTGTGTCCCTTTGTTTTTGAAGGGAAAGTCTTTCTCTTCCTTAAGGAATTCAGAAAGAATTTTAGCCTTTTTGTTTTTTGTCTGACAAATTGTTATGTAGTAACTTAACATTAAAAAAGCTAAATAACTGGTAGAATGAAAGATCTTTTTGCACTTTAGTGGGCTGAAGACTTGACTTTGAGAGTAAAAATTAAAAAGTAATGAATTCTGAGAGTTCTTAACACATTACTTGATGAGACTTCAAAATTTATAATTAAAATTCCCCTTCTATCTATAGAAACAAAATTTTAGTAATTTCAGTTTGAAATTTGAAATCTTATATTGCTAAGTCTAAGACTTGTTGAACACTATGCATAATTTTTTCTAATTGATGGAAAAATAGTAAAAGTAATTTTACCCTTTTTTTTTAGTCTAACTGGCATAACAGGTAAATTGTTAATCATTGGTAAACTGTGATTAAATTTATTATACTTAATTTTTGAACCTACAGGAAATCATTTGAGTACTATGAATGATACCTGTATAAAATTCTATTTGGTTAATAATTAGATTTATACTGTTTTGACATTGCAGTTTGGTTTGAAACAACATATAAGCACACTATTTCTATTAGTGGGGGGACTTACAGTCTTCAAATTAACAAGCCAGAGATTCTTCCTTATTAGTGTAGTAAAGTGTGTTTTCAGGAGTATGGGACCAGAGGGAGCCCATATATTTTTACCCTATGGGTTGGTTATTTTAGCCTAGGGACTACTAGTGGAACCCTTAAGAGTTAACTCCTGTCATAGGGACTGGCTTAGTGGAAACTGGTAGTGTAATAAAATATTGAGGGCATGTCTAGGGTCTTAATAGGTTTTAGGATGGCTTTTAACTCTGGTACCTATTCCTTGATATTGGTGTCCCAGATAAGGGGAATATAATCTCTGGCAGTAATCTCTTTGAGTTTATACTACTTGGCTAAATTTAGTACTACTTTTGTGTCTTAGTTTCCTAAGGTGGTCCTAAGTTACTGTGTTTCTTTTTTCTTACTTTTTTATTGTACAGCTTCTTTACTTTTGAAGTATAAATGTGTATATAAAATGTAAATACAAGGAATTCACTAAAAACCACTAGCAACAATTACTATGTAAATAAAACTTATAAGCAGAATTATGACTTGAAATGAGTCTTCATTACTTTGGGATCATCAGTGAAATGGGAAAACTTGTTGACTGAACCCCTCTCCCTTATGCTTGCTAACCACTCCCAGACTGGTGGAACAGTGTCATGCAGGCAGTATATTGCTTCTACAGTACTGGGAACTAGCCATATAGTATGTCCTCTCTCCCAGTTATACTGAATAGAGTCCATTGTTTCTGCCATTCTTGAGAACCTTGTTTCTCCTAACTGAAACTTAGAAAGTTTTTGTTAACTGAAAATTTCTTTGTTAACTGACCTGCCCCTGGTTTGTTAAAACTATGGTGATCTGATGTAACTACGGTTATTGACTTTGCCCCTAGCATGATATAATTGTGGTCTTAAGCTTTATAAACCCTGCTCTGCCTCTCCTCAGGGTTGGATGACTATGGAAGGACTCCTAATTCAACTGTCATACTATGTGGCATTCCTCCGTGCCTCATGCTTGGTATTACAATCAGGTTAAATCAATGTCTAGAAAAAAAAAGGAGTGACTTTTTTTCAGGGCTGGGTTAAATTTCTCTTCTCTGTGATTTACTAGGCTCTTCATCTTTTTGAGACTTTTGGTGCTAATCTTAAATCCGCTATATAGCTGAGGATGGCCTTTAACTCTTGATACACTTGCCTTGATCTCTCCAGTGCTGGGATTGTAGGCAGTTGCTAGGGTCATAGCTTCTATCACTGTGCCTGAGGAACAAACTTAGGGCTTCACGTCCTCCAACTGAACCCCAGCCCGAACCTCAGTCCCAGCCCCTGTTTATTGTTTGAAACTGTTGTCACTGAGTTTTTTTGTTTTGTTTTTTTAATTGATTTCTTTCCTATCAAGTTCATTACTGATACATAAGAAAATTACTGATTTTTGTTTGGTGATTTTGTATCTTGCTACTTCATTAAAATGTTCATCAGCTCTTGAGAGTTTTCTGGTGGAATCTGTAAAGTCTTCTAAGTCTAGAATCATGTCATCTGCAAATAGAACGCTGTAATTCCTTCCTTTCTTGTTTTATCCTTTTTCTTTCTCTTTTCTTTTTGCTCTATGACTTTGAGCACTGTACTAAATAAGAACAGAGAGAGTGGGTACCCTTGTCTCATTCCTGACAATATTGTTAGTCATGATCTGGGTTTGAGGGTTTTTTTCTCTGAACCTTAAATAACACGTACATGGATATATTAGTTACTTTTCTGTTGCTGTGATAGAAACACTGACCAAAACAACTTATAAAAGAAGAGTTTGTTTGAGCTTACAGTTCCAGGGGAATTACAGTCTGTCATGGTGGGGAGACATGGTGGCTGGAGGTGGCTGGAACAGGAGCAGAAGCTAAGCTTTCACATCTTCAAGCAGGCACAGGAAGCAAAAGAATGACTAGGGGCAAGCCTTAAGAACTCTCTAAGCCTGCCACAGTGACATGCTTCCTCCAGGATAGCCACACCTTCTAAGATCTCCCAAAACAGTGCCACCAACTGGAGACAAAATGTCCAAATACTTGGAGCCTATGAGGGACATTTTCTTTCAAACCACCACAATGGACATATAATAAGAAATTATGTCTAATGTTAAAGTAATGAATGGGGCTGGAGAGAATACTCAATCAGTTAAGATGCTGCTCTTGCAGAGGACCCAGGTTCAATTCCCAGCACCCACATGGCAGCTTACAACCTTCCGTAACTCCAGTTCCAAGGGATCCAACACCCTCATCTGGCTTCCCTGGGGCACTTCACAACATGAGTGCACTTACATGCAGGCATAACACTCATACACATAAAAAAATAACAAACTGGGTCACTTCAGGTTTAAAAATAATGAAACTAAAGTAATGAAGACAACAGTCTGGCCTAAAGAAGTAAAAGTAGCAGATGATCAAAACAACCATTTTAACCAACCAAAATTCTTCTATATGTATACTTTAACTAGATTGACACTCTTTCCCTGTGTCTATTCTCATTCGCACGAAATAGTTCATGTGTTTACACAAGTTAATAGAGGCCAGGATTTTTCATTTCTCTTCAGGTGCTTTCTACCTTGCTTTTCTTTCACTGGGACCTGGGACTTATCAATCTGGCTAGGCTGACTGGCTGGACAGTGAGCACCAGAGACCCTAGTATCTGCCTCCACAACACTAGGATTACAAACATCCACCACCATGCTTGGCTTTTTTTATGTTGAGTTCAGACTATCAGGCTCCGGTCCTCATACTTATGCAGCAAGCACTTGAGATGGATGGATTGTGATCTGGAATTATAAACCAGTATGTCCTCTCCTTCCTTGCTTTTGGTCAGGGTGTTTGTCACAGCAACAGAAATGAAATTAGGACAGAAATTGGTACTGAGAATGAGGTGTTGCTGTGATAGACCTGACCATGTGGCTTTTATGCCTTCGACTGTTTTTGTAGGTAGAACATGGAAGCATTTAGAACTTTGGGCTGTAGAAACTGTTGAGTCTTGGAGACAGAGCTTGGTGGGTCATTTTTATGAAAACTTAGAAGAAAGTAGTACTTGTAGAAGTGTGGACTGTGGAGGTCTGGCTCATGAGGTTCCAGAAGGGAGCAAGGACTTTGTCAGGGAATGGCCAGGGCCCATTCATGTGATATTTTGGTTAAGAACCTGTATGCGTTGATCATACTGGGGCTGAAGAATCAGCTACAATTGATAAGAGAGCAGCATCACTGAGGTAAAAGCTTTTATGCTTCACTGAGACAATAAGAATGTGTTTCCTCTGGGTCAGCACATAGAAGCCATGATCTAAGGGGACCAGATTATATCTCATCAAAACTTGTCAATGTAAGAGTTGTCTATGTAGTTCTGGTTTTGAAGGCATGAAGGGGTCATGGAGAGCAACTAAGGCTTGTCACTTTTGGCATGGTCAGAAGCCCTTGAGAGGCCATTGGTAAAGCTAAAGCCCAGTTGCAATGGAGAACGCAGGATACTGGAGATGAGTGGACTAGGAACATCTGCCAAAGAGAGTGTAGGTGTGGAGTAGAATTGGCCTATACCTAAGAGAACTGTGTATGCTGTGAGCAGCAGAGCTGGAGAGGTGGGGCTGCCCAAGCCCTTCGGATCCCAGAAGATAGTGAAGTTTCAGGTATGAGACACTGGTCTTCAGAATTTGGGGTTTACACTACTAGGCACTCATAATTTTTTTTTTTTTTTGAGACAGGGTCTCATGTAGTTGAGGCTCTCCCTGAACTCTGTAAGTAGATGAGGTCTCTTGAACTTGTGATCCTCCAAACTCCACCTCCCAACTGCTCAAACTAGAGGCTTGTATCACCACACCTAGCTTTAGATGCTCATAAAATTTCTTTGTTAAAAATATTTTATGTGGAGGCTGGAGAGATGGCTCAGCCTAAGAACACTGACTTCTTGCAGAAGACCCGGGTTCGAATCCCAGCACCCACATGGCAGCTAACAGCTGTCCTTAACTACAGTTCCAGGGGATCCGACATTCTGTCCTCTGAGGGCATTGCACAACAGGGTGCACTTACACACATGCAGGCAATACACACAAGTGCCTGCAAGTGTGGAACTGGAGTTAGGATGATTGTTAGCCACCATGTGGGTGCTGGGAATTGAACCCAAATCCTGTGAAAGAACAGACAGTGCTCTTAACTAATGAGCCATCTCTTCAGTCCCGCCCATAAAATTTCTAAACTAAAAAGGGTCAAGGTTGTAGGAGAGAAGAGACAGAAAAAAACCAGAGTTACCTATTGGAGGAATGGCAGGAGAAAAATGCTAGTTAACAAAGGTTCTGACAAATGCACTGATAACAGTGAGGACAAATGAGGACATCCAATGATCAGCTTATAATAAACCAAACAGACCATCAACCAAACCAAAGGAGGGGTCTAGGCAGCAGAAAGAATGCACTAATATCTACCTAAGGAGGCAACAGAAGATTGGCCATAAAGGAACTGTAGTGGTACCTGATACCAACACAAGTGACTCCTCCAGAGAGAGCAGAATCATGTTTAGGGTCTCATGGTGAGTTGCCACACTGACACAAAACAGTTCTCACTAGAAAGTAATAAAAAATAGTTTATTTTGGGTCAGATATGAGTGGTCATGGCCCCAAATGGCATGTCCCACTGTGGGAATGTTTACATAAGCTTTTTAGAGTCAAGAAGAAAAGAATGTCATAAACCAAGGCATTCACCAAATACATTGGTGGGGACAATAGGTATAAAACAAAATGGGAAATGTTGTGGCAGGAATGAGTAGCCCAAGGTATGAGTATTTACCACACTAGAATTGACAAAAGTTTTAATAAAGCCCAGGCATGGTGGTGGACTTGAGTTTGAGATTAGCCTGGTTTACAGTGAATTCCAGACCAGCTGGGGCTACAATGAAACCCTATCTCAACAAAACAACAAAAAAAAAGTTTTAATAAAAAATAGACACTGTCCTCTCCTAGCCTGCACTACTATCCTCAGGCCTCTTGGGGTAAGTCTATAGTGCAGCTCTCCGCGCCGGGACTCCCTAAGCCACATTCACCCTTCCATCCCTCCCGCTGTTCTATACTCCTAGTTTGGGCCCTGCACCATTCCTAGTCTTGGGGCCCCAGACACCTGGGGAACCAATACTGCTTCCTG